AACACAAAATCAATCTCCGACAATGGCACCAAAAACTTGATGCATTGATTTTACAACATGCAATGTGTAGCAAGTGCACTAGTCGCAACAAGTAATAGAATGATGAGTAAAGTATCGTTCCCACGAGGATTGCGTGTCAAATACAAATTTCCTAATTTGTATCATGTTGGAGTAAACGAAAAATGGTTAGATTTGCGGGAGACAATTAATCTGAAGTTAAATCAAAATCCACAATGTAATTTAAAATCTAACTAATGAAAGCAATATCAATTCAAGAAAATATCAACTAAGACAAAGCGGTTAGGGTTTTGACTTCACTAGGATTTTATAATTTAATCTACGATTTCTGTTGCTTCTAAGTTCACATGCAAGGATTATAAATCGGACACCCTAACTTGTAAAACATACCTTCTCAGGCTATGTTTTCCTACTTATCCCTATTAAACTTCCGCACCCAACAAAATGAAGGTTAATAGTTCCAAGTCCGTTAAGCTAAGTGGAATCCTAAATTGATTTTATGGATCTTCGAACCTATCTTTAGCGTTCAATCAATCAGTGGTATTTACTCTAAGAGGCTAATACATGATTCACTTCTTAGTCTCATCAAGCTCAACAATTAATTTCAATTAGAACAAGAATAAATACATAATCCAAGCAATAGAATATGAAAGCAACATCAATTTATTGATGAGACATTAAAATCCCAATTACATCAAAACCCTAACCCAAAAGTGAGTTAGTTCATACTAAAAATAAAGCAAATCAAAAGAAAAGCTGTAAAAACAGAGCTCAACATGCTGGAATAACGAAAAGAGAATAAATTCTTCCCTATTTGATGAACCCAAAGGCTTCCAATCTCCAATTTTCTCCTCTCTTTCCAAAAAGTGTCGAACCGCCTCTAAAATAACCAAGTCCCTCTTAAATAGTCGACCCCAAAACCCTAAGACTAATCCTAAATAATTAAAATGCACAATTTTAACAAACTAAAATTTACAGTTTTCATTGCGGCGAAGAATAGACTTCACCGCAGTGAACTTTTCTGAAATTTTTTGAAATTATGAAATTGCCCTTCGCTTGCTTCTTTGGTTGACTCTTCAATCATAGTGATCCCCAATAGAAACAAGCTTCATAGTGCTTCGAATCTGCATTAGAACTTTCCCGATTCCTGAAATTCGCTTGATTCTGGGTCCAAAAACTCAATTCCGCTCAGTTTTTGCTCTAACTGCACATTTTGGCCTGAAACGTAAAATATATGGAACTAAGTTGCCATTCAGGCAATTGATAGATTTATATGTGAATTGTAGAAAATTAAAGTTTGATGGCAATTAATGGAAATGGTTGATTGATGGATTTATATGTGAATTGTAGAAAATTAAAGTTTGATGGAAATTAATGGAAATGGTTGTGTCATGAGCATTTAACATATTACAAGGGAGGTTATTATTGATCATTTAACATGTTTTCATAGGGGAGAAGGGTTAGGAAAAGTTCGGGAGTAAGTTGAGGTAAACGAACAAAGATCGTATCAATCCAATGTGTATAACTCGAGATATGCATAGCATAACTACCTCAAAAGTGCTTCCTATTTCTTAATTTATTTTTAGCCTAATAATCTATGATTGATTCCAAGTATGGAAATAATGCTTACAGGGTTTTGAAGCATTTTGAATGAGTTATCTTTGTGATTATTTAATGATTGTATGAACAATATATATTTGATGTAATGAATGACCATGGAGGTCATGTGTAATATGTTATGTATTACCTAATTATGAGCTTCTTTATGTATAAATAAGCCTAAATATGATATGTTTCTATGAATTAATTATGCATCCACAAAACGGTCATGATGAAATCATATGTTCCTATATGGAAAGTGTATGTTTTTAAAGAATAAAGCATGTCAAGCATATTAATAATGAAAAAGGGAAGGGGGGGGGGGGGGGGGGGGGGGGGGGGGTTTGTGTGTAACTTGATCCCAAGTTTGAGTAAAATGCTTTCAAGGTACATAAACATGCATTTTTGTGAAGAAAATGATTTTTAAGTTTTATGGAAGCTGTTGGCATGTTATGGGGAATCTGAGCTCACTCATGCACATGTCTAAACCAAAAGAAATGATCAGTCCATAGCGTACATGACCATGGGGACCATGTTATAAGTTAAGGCTAGCTCATTGGCCAAAGGTTCTGTAATCCATGCCTAGCTTAGTCTGATCAGCGGACAGTAAAAAGTTTTCAAAGAAACATGTATTTATACATGCATGGCATTGAAGTGCATCATTCATGAACATTAAAGGAAAGCATTACATGAATTATATTCTGCAATATGATATGAATTGAATATGCTATGTTTTATTACATTTATGTTATTTTATGTTATTAATGTTTGGTTCATGTACAAGTAAATAAGATGTTTTCCAAGTTTAAGAATGTTACATAGGATTATATGATTGATACCCTTACTAAGTGATTAGCAGTCATTTCCCTAGTTTCCATGTTTTGCAAGAAATGGTTGAAGTGGTAATGGCGAGTGGCAGTCAAGGAAGCTTGGGGCATGCATGTTAACTTTTGCTTTAGTTAAACTTATGATGTTATATAAAGGATGTTGTTTTTGAATTAATGTAAATAGTTTGATGTCTATAATCTAAGTTTTATGAAATAATGAATATGTTTTGCTTATAAATAATGGGAGATATTTTATATTTGCTTCTGCTATTAAACAATTGATGTAGTTTTTTTCTTTAAACCATATTTTTCATATATAGTCATATTTCGATAGGTTGATTAAGAAAGTAATGTACATGAGAGGAGAAGTTTTTATTTATTTATTTTCATATCGTACATGTTTGTAACTAGGATTTACGTTTTAAATTACATAACTTTCCAGGCGTGAATTCTCTAAGATTCCATCGTAATGGAATACTTAGAGGGTACCCGGCTAGAGGATAATGTTACAGTTGGTATCAAAGCATGGTTCTAGCACTTAAGAGATGTTTTCTATTATATGAAACTAGATTGTTATTTTATGAAGTTTTTCACATGTCCCTCAGGCTATGTTGACACACCCTCGCAAGTTAACCGCTGTAAGTTATTGTTTAAGTTTAAGTTGATGAACTAACAGAATTTGATGATTTCTTTTGTCTCTATAAGTCTCAAGATAAGTCGAGAAACTAGATCCAGGTGAGGTAAGCAGAATCTAACTCCACTTGTAGGTACCAATCCAAATGTTACAACAGGATTTGATGTTGCCACAGTGGGGGATATGATCCAGGCGACAATAAGGGAGGCCTTAGGAAATCAGAATACGATTGTACAACCTCTAAATCAAGGTGCATAAGTGAGTTGGAACCTATTTACGGGCTCCCACCTAGCTCATCAACACCCACCACTTCTCAAGCACAGCTGGAACCTATTTATGGGCTCCCAAGCAAGCACCAGCAACATAAACTCAGTGGCACTACTGATCCATCAGTAGCTGAAGAATGGATAAAAGCAGTAGAGAGGGTAGTGGTATTGTTTACGATAATAGATCAAGAAAAGATTCGATATGCCACTTATTTGCTAGGGGTGATGCCAAAATTTGGTGGGAATTAATGGAACATACTCACAATATTGCCGCTCTTACTTGGGTTGATTTTAAAATGTTGTTTGACACAAAGTGCAAGACAGCAGATATGTTTTCTGTTAAGACTCAAGAGTTTATGAATCTACAGCAAGGGAGTAAGACAGTTAAGGAGTATTCTACTATATTCAACTCATTAGCTCGATTTGCTCCTATTATAGTTATTACTCCTCTAGCGAGAATGGAAAGATTTGTAAATGGGTTACACCCCTAGATAGCCTAAGATGTTATGGCGAGTGCTCAACCTCCTTAGACGTATGGTGAAGCCTTGAATCGAGCACTGCGGGCAGAAGTGTATGTCAATAGAGTTGTTTAGCTATCCAAACCAGTGGTTGTAGCAAATAATCCTCTTTCAGAGCCACAAAAGAGTAGTGATGAAGCCTTCTCCCTTACCAAAGATAGTAAGAACAAGAAGAACTTTTAGCCTCGAGTAAATAAGAATAATTGGAAGGGTAAAAGGCAACAGCAGAAGAAGAATAATCTATCTTGCCATAAAAAATATGGCAAGCAACATAAAAGGGAATGTCTAATGGGGAAAAATGTGTGCTTCAAATGCAAACAACCAGGGAATTTGGCAAGAGAATGTCGAAACCCTCGTCCCCCAGTAACTTAGACAATTGGAGGAACTGACGCCAGAGTATTCACTGTCTCCCAAAGCCAGGCAAAATCCAACCCATTAGTAGTCAATGGTCAGTTATATTTCCACTATGTCCCATTATATGCTTTAATTGACTCAAGAGTCACCCACTCCCTTATTTCCTATAGAGTTTTTGAAAGATTAGGATTAAAGCCTAATAAAGTGGAACCAGTCTTAAAGATAGAGTTGCCAAATGGGAAAAGTGTAGTAACTAGTAAGGTTCTTTCGGGGGAAACAATAGTTATTGATGGACGAGAGTTAGAAGTTGACTTGATTGTTTTTTATATGCCCGATTTTGATGTTATCCTAGGCATGGATTTCCTAGTTAGGTATGAGGCAGAGATAAACTGTCACAAAAAAGGGTCAGATTTAATTTAAATAATGGGGATAAGTTTAATTTTGGAGAGGGTCATGTACTTATTGGTATGATAAGTGCCATCAAAGCAAGAAAGATGTTGAGAAAAGAATGTATGGGGTATATAACTAATGTAGTGAATAAGGTGAAGACTCTAAGTCCTAGTGTGTATGATGTGCTCATAGTTCGTGAATTTACGGATGTATTTCCAGATGAATTACCAGGTGTGTCTCCAAAAAGGGAAGTAGAATGTTTTATAGAGTTCAACTCAAGTATTGCACCAATTTCAAAAGCTCTAAACAGAATGGCTCCAACAGAACTCCAAGAGTTAAAGAAGTAACTTCAAGAGTTATTAGATAAAGGTTTTATCAAATTGAGTCATTCACCATGGGTGCTCCAATTCTATTTGTCAAGAAGAATGATGGATCCCTCCGGATGTGCATTGATTCTTGGGAGTTGAATAAGGTGACAATGAAGAATAAATATTCATTGCCTCGTATAGCTGACTTATTTGATCAACTAAGAGATGCTTCAGTGTTCTCTAAAATTGATTTGAGGTCGGCCTACCATCAAGTCAAAATTGCAAAGAATGACATTTAGAAAACTGCCTTCCGAACTAGGTATGGACATTATAAGTTTGTTGTGATGCCTTTTGGGTTGACCTATGCACCAGTAGTATTTATGGACTTAATGAATAGGGCTTCCATGACTATCGAGATAAGTTTCTTGTGGTGTTTATAGATAATATACTCCAAAAAAAATGAAGAGCATGAACAACATTTGAGGTTTGTATTGCAAGGATTAAGGGAGAAGCAATTGTATGCCAAGTTCTCCAAATGTGAGTTTTGGTTGGATCAGGTAACGTTTCTTGGTCATGTGGTTTCCAAGGAATGCATATCAATGGATCCTAATATGGTAGAGGCAGTACTTGAATGGAAAAGGCCAACAACAATGAAGGAGGTAAGGAGTTTTCTAGGCTTGACTGGGTATTACAGAAAAATTGTGCAAGGGTTTGCTAAACTTCCTCGTCCACTCACTGTACTTACCAAGAAGGAGACTCCATTTCAGTGGACATATATATGTGAGCAGAGTTTCCAGGAGTTAAAGAGGAGATTGACCAGAACTCCCATTTTAGCTTTGCCCGAGGAGGGTGTTGATTATGACATTTGTATTGATGCTTACATAGTGGTGTTAGGGCAGTATTGATGCAAAATGGGAAGGTGATAGCCTATGCCTCTAAACAACTGAAAGATTATGAACTGAGGTACCTTACACATGATTTGGAATTGGCAATAGTGGTGTTTGCCTTAAAAATTTGGCATCATTATCTATATGGTGTCGAGAGCAATATTTACACAGACCATAAGAGTTTAAAGTATTTCTTCACACAAAAAGAGTTGAATATGAGGCAGAGAAGATGGTTAGAGTTAGTCAAAGACTATGACTGTTAAATAAAGTACCATCCAAGGAAAGCTAATGTAGTAGCAGATGGCTTAAGTCAGAAAGTTCCTCTATTCCAAATCATAGTATAAAAAGAGTTGCAATGAGAAATCCTCAAAGAGCAAATTGAGGTTGTAATTAGAGGATGTGCTAGATTGGAAATCAAATCTACTTTAATAGAGGAGATCAAAGAAAAACAAGTAGTTGATGATTCTTGCAAGGAAATCAATAGGCAAGTAAATGAGGGAAAAGAGACAGATTTTAGAGTAGTGAATGGTATTCTGAAATTTTGAGATAGGTTGTGTGTTCCTCAAGATGTAGAGTTGAAGAGTAAAATTCTTAGAGAAGCATACGATACACTTTGTACAGCCCACCCTAGAGTGTAAAGATGTACCATGATTTAAAGAAAAGCTACTGGTGGTCAGGTATGAAGAAAGATATCAGTGATTATATAGGTAAATGTTTAATTTGTGAGTAGGTTAAAGCTAAACACCAATGACCATCAAAATTAATATAGCATCTTAGTATTCGTAAATGGAAATGGGAAGACATATCTATGGATTTTATGGTTGCCCTTCCAAGAGTACAAAAAGGGTATAATGCACTATAGGTTACTGTGGATAGACTAACTACGTTAGCGCACTTCATACTAGTGAAGGATACAACTACTTCAGATCAATTGGGTTAGATTTATGTAAAAGAAATTGTGAGGTTGCATGGTGTGCCCAAGACAATAGTGTCAGAGATTCAAGATTTGTTTCAACCTTCTGGCATGGGTTACAAAAGGCACTAGGTACAAGGCTAGCTTTTAGTACAGCTTATCATCCCCAAACAAATTGAGAGAACCAATTAGGTGATTAAAGATATGTTACGGGCTTGTTGTGTGGATCATAAAGCAAATTGGAGTGATATAATTCCATTAATGGAATTTTCCTATAATAACAGTTATCATACTACTATCCAGATGGCACCATATGAAGCTCTATATGGGAGAAAGTGTAGATCACCTTTGTATTGGGATGAAGTAGGAGAGAATGAGTCTTTGGTTCAAGCTTTAGGACCAAAGATGACTTAAAAGATGATTGAAGATATAAGGTTAATCAAAGAGAGAATGAAACAAGCCCAGGATCGCCAAAAGAGTTATGCAAACTTGAAGAGGAAGGAAGTGGAATTTCAAGTAGAGGACAAAGTGTTTATTAAGATTGCCCCATACAAAGATGTCATGAGATTTGGCAAAAACAGAAAGCTTGCTCCACGGTACATTGGTCCTTTTGAAGTGCTGGAAAGGATTGGAAAAGTAGCTTACAGACTTGCATTACCATCAAGCATGGAACAAGGGCATAATGTTTTTCATGTGTTATTGTTACGCAAGTACATAAATGATCCTTCTCATGTATTATGAGTAAAGGAAGTGAAACTGAACGAGAATTTGATTTATGAGGAGCGTCCAGTCCAAATATTGGATAAAAAGATTAAAGAGCTCTGGAATAAAAGTATTCCACTCGTCAAAGTTCTTTGGAGAAATCACAAGGTTTAAGAAGCTACTTGGGAAGTGGAACAAGACATGAGAGACTGCTACCAAGACTTATTTGCTTAATTTCAAGGACGAAATTCCTATAAGGAGGGGAGAAATGTAAACCCCACCAGTACGTCCAAGGATAAAATAGTCTTTTCATTTTTATGTGCTAAGTTAACTACCATGCACATGCCTTAGGGGTAAAGTAGTAAAAGAATGATGATATTTTGTTGGCTTGACAAGGTAAAGATGGCAAAGGATTAAGGAGTAATTAAAAGAAAATTGTTAAGGGAAAAAAGGAAAATAATGTTATAAGTCATTAAATGCAAAATATAAATAAATTTTTTTTTTAAAAAAAAAAAAAAAAAAAAAAAAAAAAATCTTCACTTTGGTTTGTATAAGTCGGCCAACACATGTATTCTTCCACTATCCATCATCTTCTCAATATTTCTACACTATTCCATCATCTTCTTCAATACTTCTCCATTAATTCTATTTCCTCCATTGAAATTTCAAGCTTTTAGTTCCAATCTTTCAAGTGTCCTATATTTCTTCCTTTATTAAGAATATTAGGAGGTAAATTTTGTTAGGAAACAATGTAACCCAATGGCAGCAGAAAACAAAAATAAAATAGTGATCGATTCCATTTTAAGCCAAGATCAAGATACAGATATTACAGATAATATGTTAAATCAAATATTCTACAGTAATATGAATGATCAGAATAAAGATTAGAGTATTGATATAATATGTTAAACCAAACTTAGTATTGAAATGCTTAGAAACATTTTATGTGGTTAGGTGAAGTATTGATAATGTTGGTGGACTCTAGAACCTAGTTGAGAAGTGCTTGAGGCAAAATTCTAGGAATAGACATTATTGAGGAAATGATTTAGGCATTTTTTTCTAAACGTTTGACCCTTTCCAGCCGACGATGAATAAATTTTTCCCTAGTCACCCATTTGAGTCTTATGAGATTATCACTGTCCTATTCTTCTTGTGCAACAAAAAATGCCCAAACCTTCCACCCTAAACATTTTTCACAACCTTTAAGAGAATTCTGGACCTAATGCAGACACAAAAGAGCATAGAGAGATGTTTGAGATTTTGACAAACCAAAATACTAAGTTTGGGGGTCGCAAAAAGGGCAAGAAGAAGGGGTAATTGACCTCAATAAATTGATGTTGCTTTTAAAAAAAAAAAAAAAAGAAAATTGAGATTTTCAATTCAAAATCAAAAATAAGAATTGCACATGTTTGAGGGTTATAAAATGGTTGACACTTTGATTGGTGGTAGAGAAAGAAAGCGGAGATTAATGTAGCTCTTAGTGTTTGCATGAAGAAAACCGAATTCTCTTACTTTATTTATCTTATCCTTTTCTTTGGAGCCCACTAACCGAGCCTAACGTTACAAGCCTATAAAGACCTTTTGATCCTTAGTGATGTCTAGTCCACATTAGTGGAGAGTAATTTGATACTTAGGCTTATGGAGTCTACCACCATTTGATAAACTTTGTATTTCTGCATAAAATAATCCTGGAAGTCAAAAGGTAGACTGAAGTGGGGATTACCTACTCAGGAGGCCGATAGAGAAAGATAGTCAATCAACTTTTAACTTCTTGGAGTGTTAAGCAATTTCCAGTAATAATGTTTCAACAATTTTTGAGACTTGTATAAATTCTAGGAAGTTCTTTGTGTTTGATTTTGATTCTAATATCTCTCTTTTCATTTTCAATTTTGTTGTCTTTTTCTGTTTGTTAGTTGTTCTCTTTTAGTTGAATTTTGTGTTAGAGTAGATGCCCTAGAGCCAATCAATTATTGTAGAATTGACTCTTTGTAATAATGTTCATTAATCAATAAAAGGCATTTTATTCTATATCGCGTAATCATTATTATTGCAATATGTATTGATGTATGTCCTTAGAATGGTAGAACCGTGACGAGGGTATCAAGTGTTTCAAATCTTGATAGTGAGAACCCTATGAGCACATATGGTGGCCATTCTAGAAACGTCCGTAGCCCTAGTATTATCTGAAGTAAGGCACACGATAACGGAAGGCTATCATAGTGTTGAACGACCCTGTCGAAAGACAGTGACTGATCTTACTTGTCAAGGTTGTTTGGTGACAACCTGGTGCAACACATGGGTGCTTGTTGTAGGCAGATATACCGCAGCAAGTTCACTGGATTGACCCACCAGAGGATTCCATATGGATGGTAACCTCAGTGTCTATGGGACAAATCCTCTAACGAATGGTGGTGCATGTGATCCTTAGACTTGAGATCACCGGAGCGCCTTGGCACCGATTGGTGCAGTTTGACACTAGCCTAACGCAGTTCTATTCAGAGTTGTCAATACGGTGGTGATTGGCTGCATCAAGGAGTGTATCAAAACTATGGTGGATTGACAGAGGATTCACACTCCAGGTACGAGGGAGAAGTTATCTCACGGTGCAATTCAGTATATGGCAATGACACTAAAACTGTGGCCACAGTGGGATTGAGTTGTTGCTTTATCCGGATTATAAGAAAGGTCATTGGTCCAGAAACTGAATACATAATATCGAGAGTAACGAAGGTTGACACTATTTCTATGCCTTCGTCTCGTCGAGATAACAAATGATGAAAGGATCGAATTGTATGGTAACCATATCATTGACAGGTAGCTACTTTGCTGAATCCGAATCTAGGGTGGCCATGATGCCTTGCTAGGGGCCAATCTTGGTCTGTGTATTAGTGAGACGATTAATGGTGTTAATCGCGATACTATACACTGCTGATATGATGAGGAGCCTATGGGTCACACACATAGAAGATAATTTAAGATCCAAGAAGAAAGAAGGGCGTTTCCATCTTTTAAGGCAAAAGGGTATTTTGGTAATTTCACAATGCAATAATTTGTTGAGGTTGTAACCTTATTAATTTGTTAGAAAAATTAAATAAGTGAAATTCGGTTAAATGTGTGTTCGCACATATTTAATTAAATCATCATTATTGTTAAGTGTAATTAAATATTAATTGATTTTAATTGAAGATAATGATGAATTAAATAAATATCTAATTGGGAGTGTTTGGCAACATGGGGTGTTTGGGTTGTGCCCAAGCCCATTCCATATGGGAATAGGGCAAGTTAAATAAAACTATAAAAGAAAAAGGTTTTAGTTGAAAAGTGTGTGTGTTATTTTATTTTTCATTTTTCATTGAAAAGAGAAAACTCCAGCCCCAAAACACTCTCCCACACTAGGTTTTGG